CTAAACGCTAAACCCTAAACCCTAAACCCTAAACCCTAAACCCTAAACCCTAACCCCAAAAGTGCAGGTCTTGCGTTCTTGAGGTAGACAGCCAAAACGTCCGAGCAGGCTACGAAACTGGAGTCAACGTGCATGTTCCCCCTTCTACTAACAGTCCTTAATAGGGACTATCGGGGGGGTTTAGGGTTTAGGGGTTTAGGGTTTAGGGTTTAGGGTGTACAATAATCCCTATTCGGGTGTTAGTTAGTATAAGGGGAACATCCCAAGATAAAGCGAAAGAGACACGATTCTGTCTCTCTGCTCCTTAGTGGGCTTGGCACCCTGTTTGATAAAGCTGCCAGCTGGAGGGGCTTCCTGGGGGCTTATACTTGGAGGTTCATGGTACTTCGTAACTAGGTTTAGGGTTGAGGGTTTAGGGTTTAGGGTTTAGGGTTCAGGGTTTTTGGTTTTTGGGTTTTGGGTTTTGGGTTTAGGATATTTTCACTGTACTTATTACCAACTTATAAGCCCCTTTAAGTGCCCCAATATGGTTATGAGTAGGGTTATAAGGGTATTTTCACTGTACTTATAACCCACTTAGAAGCCCCTTAAGTGCCCTAATATGGTTATAAGTAAGGTTATAAGTACCGTTATAATGGGCTTATAGGATTTCAGGTTTTAGGGCCGACAAGGTGCAAAGGTTTGGGGTTTAGGGTCAAGGGCTTAGGGTTTGGGATTTCCGGGTCTAGGATTTAGGGTTTACAAGGGTTTGGGGTTTGGGGGTTAATACGTGGACATCCCCAGCGGACAGTGCATCGCGCACTCTTCTTCACGTAAGCTAGTCTTTGGCAGCCGGCCGAGGGAGCCCCAACATTAAAACACAAAATTCTATGTGCCCGAGGAGCCCAAATTAAAACACGAAGGAGCCCAAATTAAAACACGAAGGTGGCGGGTAGCTTCCGGTCCGTCTTCGCGCCTAGCCCTAAACCCTAAACCCTAAACCCTAAACCCCGAAAACCTCATTAAGAAAAGCCTGCGTCTGGGAAGCTAACCGGCGAAGATTGGGGGGCAGATGTTTTTTTGCCGAGGACTGGATCTGCGAGTACTCTAGGAAACGCACGGTGAGCCTGCTGGACTGAAGGTGCAGGGTTTAGGGTTTAAGGTTTAGGGTTTAGGGTTTGAGGCTTGGGGTCAAGGGTTTAGGGTTTAGGGTTTAGGACTCAGGGTGTGCTTCCCCTAGCCCTGAAATCACCGTTTGGGCTCGTGCCCTACATCCCTTACTGCTGCACCCTTAAGCACGTCGGCCGGAGGTCCCAAGGGAGTTAACTCTGCAGACTGGGCTCAAAAGTTTAGAGGGTTTATGGGGCTTACGAGGGTTTAGGGCTTCCCGAAACCCTAAACCCTCAACCCTAAACCCTACGTACACCCTAAACCCTAAACCGTAGGGCTTGCGGAGTGTTGCTAGGTCTCCACGTGCCAGAGGCGGAAGCTCGAGCATGCGTACCCACCCCTAGAGACCTTGAGCCTTGAGCTTTCTCCTAGGGTTTAGGGTTTAGGGTTTAGGATCTAGGGTCCAGGGTCTAAGGTCTAGGGTCTGAGGTTTAGGGTTTAGGGTTCAGGGTACCCTCTTCAGTGCCCGGAAATACACCAGCAACAACCTCTGCAACTTTCGACATTTGGACAGTCCTCTGTATGATGGTCATTTTTGGGGGCGCCCCCCCCCCCCCCCCCTCCCCCCCGAAGAAACCGAAAGTTAGAGCATGGGTCCTGAGACCCTGGAATATGCTGCCAGGATGCGTGAATAGAATGTTGACGCATTCTAAATATTAATCTTCCTTAAGAAATCCAAAACCTACTTGTTCTGTTGTAGGCTCGTGGAAAAAAGCCTCATATAGGGTTCGTCACCCTAAGCCCAAAACCCTAAACCCCAAACCCCAAACCCCAAACCCTAAACCCTAAACCCAAACCCCAAAAGTGCAGGTCTTGCGTTCTTGAGGTAGACAGGCAAAACGTCCGAGCAGGCTGCGAAACTAAGGTCAATGTGGATGTTCCCCCTTCTACTAACAGTCCTTAATGGGGACTATCATAGGGGGGGGGGGGTTTAGGGTTTAGGGTTTAGGGTTTAGGGGTTTAGGGTTTAGGGTTTAATCCCTATTAAGGAGGGTTAGTTAGTATAAGGGGAACATCCCAAGATAAAGCGAAAGAGACACGACGCGAACAATCATTTGCAAAACTTCGTGGTGGTGGAAGGATGCAAGTGTTCTTGCACAAGCCTGGTCCCTAAACCTTACACTTTAAACCCTAAACCCTAAACTCTAAAAAATGCAGCCCATTAAATACTAAGTACCATGAACCTCCAAGTACTGCACACAACATGTAGCGAACCATGCAGGGCTTATCCACGATCCCTCTGCCTCTGTTTGAACGATCCCTACTTCAACCCATCTAAACTCTGTGCACCGGCCAACTCAAACATGGAGACCAGCAATGTCAGCAATTAGGGTTTCTGTGTGTGGTATCTCGGCTTAAGGGGGGGGGGGGTAGGGTGAGTTGCACTTGGGCTGAGGGTTAGTTCGGGGGCTCTTCGTTGAGAATCTCTGCCCCACACTGCTGCGGCCTTCCACGTCAGCCGGCGGCCCCCATGGGGAAGCCCATGGGAATTTGACACTACAGACTGAGCTCAGAGTTTTGAGGGCTTGCAGGGTTCTTGGCTGCACTTCGCAGGGTAGCTATAAATTGAATTTTATAGCTGCCTTCTTAAAAAACCCCCAATAAACCCAAAAAGGCTAAGGATTTAAACTTACAGAAAAGCACAGAGGGTCTATCAGGGTTTTGGGGCTTGAAGGGTTTAAGGGTATAGGCCTTATATGGAGCTTTGACTTCTTTGCGTCTCCATGTGCGAAAGGAGTTTGGCTTTTATGTTGCAGCTCCAGCATGTGTACCAAAACCCCCCAAAGGCCTTGAGCCTCGAGCCTCATCCACCACCTAAACTCGCCCGCACCGCGCCAGCTACAGTACCCTAAACCCTAAACTCTAAACCCTAAACCCTAAACCCTAAACACCAAAGCCTAACCCGCTGCGACGACTCGACGTAGTCCTCTACATGATGGTCACATTGGGGGTACCCCTGCTTCTGTGCGCGATTTGAATCAGAAGGGTTTAGGGTTTAGGGTTTAGAGTTTAGGGTTTAGGGTTTCCTTGACCCCTACTTTCGAGTAGACCCGAAAAAACATACTCTTTTTTGGTATAAGTAGCTATAATAGGAACCCAGAAACAAAAAACATATTAAGGCATAGTACTCCAAAACCCAGTGACTTTGAAGGGCTCATGTAGAGGCTCAACCCTCAACCCTCAACCCTCAACCCTCAACCCTCAACCCTCAACCCTCAACCCTCAACCCTAAACCCTAAACCCTAAAACCCTGAACTCGAATCCGGTTCGGAGGAGGATGGGCCTCTCTTCAATGCATCGGGCGCTCATAGCTCTGCTCTCGCGCGATGCCAGTGAGAACAGGCGAGACACGGTTTAGGGTTTAGGGTTTAGAGTTTATAGGGTTTAGGGTTTAGGGTTTTAGGGTGGTTTAGGGTTGCTTGTAGGTTTGGGGTTTAAATCGATTCCCCCTTGTATTAAACACACCCCCTGATTACAAAAAAAAAAAACCGTCGTTTAAACCCTATTCCGAATTAGGGGGGGGGGGTTCAGAGCAATCTAAACCCCATCTCAAAAGATGGCATATGGATTAAAGCATCTCCCTAATACAAACACCTTTCGAGTTTCTATTAGGGGGGAGGCGGGGGGGGGGGGGGGGGGGGCGCCTGTTTAATAAAGGGGGGAGCGATGAGCTGCTTACTGCTCGCCGGGGTTTAGGGCTTGCCCACGCGTTGAGTAATAGGAGGCCGCATTCCCGATTCCGGATCCTACATATGCGCTAAGCAAGTAGTATATTCTAAGCCTGCACCCTAAACCCTAAACCCTAAACCCTAAACCCTAAACCCTAAACCCTAAACCCTAAACCCTAACCCTAAACCCTTAAGATGGTACGACTCTGATTCTTCTCAAGTGTGTCTCAAAGGGGTCCCGGGGTGGACTCATGAGTCCGATAGTTTAGAATTTAGGGTTTAGGGTTTAGGGTTTAGGGTTTAGGGCTTTAAGGCTTGAGCTGTCAGTGAATGTTACAGCCCAGAGCAAGGAACTATGCTGTTCATCGAGTCGCGTAACAGCCAGGACTGCACAAAGAAGTTGGTAATCGGGGGTTTAGGGTTTTAGGGTTCAGGGTTTGGGGTAACTTGTCAGTGGTGGAACTCCTGTTCATCTGCTTGCTTGTTTTGAGAGAAAAATCCATGAAGTTCTGGTGCATTAGCAGCTGGTGGGCAAAGGACGAAGAAACCGCACCGCAAGAGACCAAACAACCCTAACCCTAAACCCTAAACCCTAAACCCTAAACCCTAAACCCTAAACCCTAAACTCTTCTTGTGGTTGTCATCGCCAATCTTTCACAACAGAAGAGAGGGCTCCGCCTTTCCACCCGTCACCGGTCGTGGGCTGGGAGGTTCGACGGTCTGTGTTTTTCAAGGGCAAAAGGGTTTAGGGTTTAGGGTTTAGGGTTTAGGGTTTAGGGTTTAGGGTTCGGGTTTGTTACCAGGTAGGCTTGCCATGTTTGGTTTCAAAGCAGACCGGAACGCTGAAGCAGAACCCCATCCCAGGCGGGCCCATGTACCGACGTAGTGTGAACTTGGGTTTAGGGTTTAGGGTTTAGGGTTTAGGGTTTAGGGTTTAGGGTTTAGGGTTTGGGTTTAGGTGAGTTCCCACAGGTAGCTGTAGGGCCCAAGCATATACTCTAAACCCTGAACCCCGAACCTTGAACCCTGAACCCTAAACCCTGAACCCTAAACCCCGAACCCTAAACCCTGAACCCTGAACCCTGAACCCTAAACCCTAAACCCTAAACCCTAAACCCTAAACCCTAAACCCTAAACCCTTCACTACATGGGCACATGGACCCTTCGGGGGGGAAACAACATCTACAGGCACAAGCGGATGCTGTAGTCTCGCGCTCGCCCGCTTCCAGAGTCTTCTCCTCCGCTACGCCGTCTGGAAGGGACTGAAGATGCCTGTCACGAGGAGTTTAGGTTTAGGGTTTAGGGTTTAGGGTCTAGGGTTTCGGGTTTAGGGTTGAGGGTTTAGGGTTGAGGGCCGCGGGCTTCGGATTCAGGATTTTCCCTTAACCCTATAAACCCCAAACGGTTTCCACAGACCTGGATCATTGGGGTTATAAGTACCCTGAACCTCCAAGTAAAAGGAGCTTCCCCCCCCCCCGCAGCCCACTCGGTACAAGTAGGTGGACAGCGGACCTAGAGGGTGTGAAGTACTCGTGCTTCATCTTCCCAACCCCCTCATGAGGACAATTATTCAATGTTCCGAACATGCTGTGGAATAAAAAAAGGGCTTGCAAAAGATCAAAAAACAACGCTAGTTTTGTCGCTTAAACCAGCAACGAACGAAATATGTGTGTGTACATATACAGTACATATATGCGTGTGCACACATATTAATTTGCTTCGGATTTCATATGAACATATGTACTTACTTGTACTACATATTCTATTCCGCTAGGGGATTTGCGAGGGCCGGGCCCCGCCTCAAAAACTCTAAACCCTAAACCCTAAGCCCTAAGCCCGAAGCCCTAAACCCTAAACCCTAAACCTTGAACCCTGCCTCAATTGTAGCGACACCGTGGGGCACAAAATTATCAAAAAAGACGATCTCGCCGTGCATGTTATCGGAGCTCGTCATCGAATCTCTGCGGTTCCTTACGTCGCCAGATCTTGGGTCGGTTTGGGGTTTAGGGTTTAGGGTTCAGGGTTCAGGGTTCAGGGTTTAGGGTTTAGGGTTTAGGGCTTTATAAGGACTACATAGGGGATTAAGGGTAGTAGCCCATTATGTTTATGTTCCTTCCTACCCCTGAGATTGGGGGGATAGTTCTTGGTCGCAAAAGGGGCGCAGGGTAACCTAAACCCTTCAACCCTGCTCGTTTTCGCGGAGGACGGCAGAGTGCGAGGTTGTTCGCTGGCCTGGCTAGCCGAGAACTAAGAATTCTGCGGCAACGGGTTTCGGATTTCGGGTTTTTGCGCCCGTGCTTGCTCCGTTGTGGGAGCCCAGCGGCGTGGGGAAAAGGTCTTTCAACAGATAAGGCTTGTCGCGTCTGTTTGAGGCATTCATTCCGTGCAGTCAGGGCTTGTCCGAAACCTAAATTTAAACCTAAAAACCCTAAACCCTACGTAAAGCAAAAGGCTCTAACCCCCTACATACAGGGCATGATCCTCAACATTTTTGCTTAAGAACCCCGACATAAAACAACAAATATTCTTCCTTAGAAGGGCAATAAAGGGAATACGATTCTCGATATTTGGGGGGTTGTTAAGCAACTAGTGGAAGAGTAGGTAACTGGAGCCACAGGTACACTGCATAAACATGCAGCCCCTAGGATGCTTCGGGGAAAGGCCCACGTAGGGGCAACAACGAGGGGCACTCCTGAATAGTGGACCTGTGCTACAACGGAAAGCTTTGCGAGGTTTAGGGTTTAGGGTCTAGGGTCTGGGGTGTAGGGTTTAGGGTTTAGGGTTTAGGGCTTAGAGGACCCAAGCAGCTCTACATGATTTAGGAGCCGGGTTATCATAGTAACCCCAAATGGGAGCACAGTCTAGAGAAGTAACCACATATATATATATATACACATACATATATATATATACACATATTTATTTATCTATGCGTATGGATCCCTAACTCTAAGGCTCTAAGGGTCCATATACCTTATCTTTATTGTTGTTCATAGACTGTTTAGGGTTTAGGGCTTAAGTCTAGCGATCAGGGTTTAGGGTTTAGGGTTTAGCGCTGGGGCCACAAAGTCCCACTTAAAAAGTGCTTTCAGGTGCGAGTACTCCCTATATGTATCCTTAGGGTGCGCACAAAAGGTTTAGGGTTTAGGGTTTAGGGTTTAGGGTTTAGGGTTTAGGGTTTAGGGACTAGGACTTAGAACTTGGGTTTCGGGCTTAGATGGGCTTGGGGTTTAGGGTTTAGGGTTTCGGATGTAGGGCGGCGAATACGTGGCGTCGGCCTAACAGAACAAAAAGCCTCTTGCCGTGCAGTTGCCGGGCGGGTTCCACCGATATCACTTTCCTTAGCATGCGGGGTTTAGGGTTTAGGGTTTAGGGTTTAGGGTTGGGGTTTAGGGTTTAGGGTTCCAAATCAGGGTGAAGTTCGGGTCCTATATATCGTACGGCACCCCAGAAACAAGGACCCCCTCAGACGTGATTCTGCCTGGTTCCACAATACACGTGCTGAAGGTCCAAACCCCCATCAGGGTTCAGGGTTCAGGGTTCAGGGATCAGGGTTCAGGGTTTAGGGTTTAGGTTTAGGGTTTTGGGTTTAGGGTTCAACAACAACTTTGTTGAGAAGAGGCAGTCGTGGCAGGGAAGCTCCTACAAACAGCAGCATAGAAAAGAACAGGAACAACAGCACCCTCATACGCTACAAACCCTGGACCCTAAACCTGTTCGTGGGAATTGCGCGGGCCCCAGTTAATTGGCGCACGCCCTTGCTATTGGCAAGATAAGGGGTCTCGGGATTCGACAGTTCAGGGATTCTGTAGGCATTGGAAAAGGTTCAAGATTTAGGGTTTGGGGTTCAAGTTTAGGAGTTAGGGTTGAGGTCTTATAGAGTTCAGGCATGCGAAAATCAACAGTAAGCCCTCTCGGTGCACACGCATGCCTCAACGCCCCAAGTGCTGAACTGATGTGCAGACCCCTATAAACCCTCACTCAACGTTACGAAACCCTAAAACCCTCTAAACCCTCTAGACTCTGCACCCTCTACACCCACTACACCCTCTACACCCTCTAAACCCTCTACACCCACTACACCGTCTACACCCTCTAAACCCTCAAAAACTGCCAAACCCTCCAAACCCTCTAAACCCTCTACACCCTCTAAACCCTCTAAACCCGCTAAACCCTCTAAACCCGAAACCCCAGCAGGGTGTGTGAGCTTGGGATGAAAGCCAGGTGGCTGGCTCTGGCGTGAAGGAAACGTGAAGTTCTTTGCACCTTGCTACTAATTGCTCAAGAAGCCCGAAAAAATGAAAACGTTCTTCCTTATTAAGGTTAGTGTAGGCATGATATCTCTTTTTTTACGTACTTCTTTTGGCGTTCTGAAGCAAATACTAGCTTGCTCTTCCGAGCTGCAACTGAAGCCCCCTCAACAACCTGGCCCACCTGGCCCGACACGAGCGCCGCTTTACGTTTGACTGTGAGACCCCCCCCCCCCCCCCCAGTTTGCTTTTAATTGTGGTGAACTAGAGCGATTTCCACAACCGATTTTCCACAGTGATTCCGAGAAGTGGGAGGATTGGTCACGGCAACTGAAGTGCTGCGTTGTGTAGGCTGGAGTTTAAGGAAACATTAACACCTGCTTAGATCAGCACCTGAGCGATTTCGAGGCAACAGGTGCACCTGGCCAACGACTAGTGGAACTCAGTGGACAACGGCACAGATCAGAGAGCCCTAAACCCTAAACTCTAAACAGCTTGAATGTAGGCTTAGTACAGGCTTTGAAGCCTGGACGCAGTTAAATGATCCATTCGCATGGCCCGATCGATCGAGGTGTGGGTCGACTCCTAGACCCAGGGTAACCTAGGAATAACAAGGGGACCCCTGTTGGTTTTAAGGGGATTATCAGGGAACCCCAGCCCTAAAAAAAGGAAATCAGGGTTTAAAGTTTAGGGTTTAGGGTTTAGGGTCACTCCGGGTCCGAGACTCAGCAGATTGCTGGACTTCGTGCTCAGAGACGACCCGATTTGAAACAGATTTGACCGGACATCTTTCATGATCCGACAAGAGGAACCCTAAACCCTAAATCCTAAACCCTAAAGGAAGACTAGCTTGAAACCCAAAGCCACACAAGCGCCGAAGCACAGGCACATCTGAAATGATTTCGAGATAGGCAGCATGGATCTAAGGCAATCTAAGTGACTGTCGTGACATGGTCCCGTGATATGGGCCCTGAGATGGGGACCCTAAACCCTAAACCCTAAACCCTAAACCCTAAACCCTAAACCCTACAAAAGCCAAGGGCCCATACTTCCATGTTCAGGGACCAAGTAGCTTCCCTTAGAATGGAACAAGCTTCAGGGTGCAGGGATTGGGATGGAAGCAACTAATGATAGAAAAAATATATGCATAAAGTTTGAAGCAATACAAGTATGGCTTATAACTACATGTATTGCTTCAAACATATTCGCATAACTTTTTACAGGTAGGCGCCAGAAACACAGACGGTTTGGGGTTTCAAGCTACGGGCTCGGCTTTCCATCTCGATTGCCTCCACACCCGAAACCCGAAGCCCAGGATGAGACCAGAACTCACGCGGGCTCAACTTAGAGGCTCTAAACCCTAAACCCTAAACCCTAAACCCTAAACCCGGAACCCCAAACCCCAAACCCCAAACCCTAAACCCTAAACCGGCATTTGAGCTCAGGTGCGGCGGCAGAATTCTTCTGCCAATTCTGGGTTGCGGAAGCCGACAAAGCAGTAACCCAGGTTACCGGCGTCATGCTTTTCCTTCCTGGGTTTAGGGTTTCGGGCTTAGGGTTTAGGGTTGAGGGTTTAGGGTTAGGCAAGAGAAGCGAATTATTATTTGCCCGTAAGACCTAACACCTATGAAGGCTAGACTTTGTCTGTAGGAAAGCGGCACCCTCCCTGTATGCACGCTTCATAGAAGGAAGGGTTTTCACTGCTGGTACCTACAAGCTGGCAGGAGCCACGAACCAGAATGCACGTATATACGTGGCGAACAAAAGATACATGGTGCACGACACGGGATCCGAAGCTTATCTGTCTCCATCCATCTCTCTCTCTCTCTCTCTCTCTCTCCCTCTCTCCCTCTCTCTCTCTCTCTGTGTCTCCGTCTCTTACTACGCCTGTGCATAAGGGTACCACTGGAACCTTATTAAAAAAAGGGCACCCTTTTCGTGTTGGTTACTTTGTAAGAGAACCCAGAACCCAAACGAACAGGTAAAGGGTACCAGTGGTCTGCCAAGTATATCATTGTTTGGGCTTATGACTTGGGGGAACAGAGACCTGGCTTGTGCTACAACTGGGGCTGGCGCCACGCTAGCAACTCACAAGTTTCCGGACACAAGGAACCCTAAACCCTAAACCCTAAACCCTAAACCCTAAACCCTAAACCCTGAACCCTAAACCCTAAACCCTAAACCCTAAACTCAGACCCAACACTTCTTGAAGCAAGCGTCACTGGCAGATGGAAGTACACGAGCTTCTCGCTTCCGAACCCAAGACTTCGAAGAGCGTCCAGGATCCTTGGTAGCCCAGCTTAGGTTGGTTTAGGGTTTAGGGTTTAGGGTTTAGGGTTTAGGGTTTAGGGTTTAGGGTTTAGGGTTTAGGGTTTAGGGTTTAGGGTTTTTGGGTTTAGGGGTAAATGGGGGTTTACTATATTAAGGGTCCGTGGCAGACGAGAAACTTTCTTTTAAATATGGGCACCTTTTGGTTTTAGGGTATAGGGTTTCGGATTTAGGGTAATTGTACCTAACAAGGTTGCCCGTTTGGGGAGTTTATGGTCAGGGTTTAGGGTAATTGTAATCAGGGCCATTTGGACCCTGTTCAGAGATTGCAGCAGCCGACTCAGACTGGAAAGCTGTGCAGAAACTCGCAGCAGACATGCTGTTCACCTTGTGCCTTAACATGTTGGTGCTTTAAATGCGAGTCAGACTGCTAGAGTCTAGAGGAGGTTGTGGTTTGGAAACAGCACGTGGCCAGCACCCTTTTTGGGGGGGATTTAGGGTTTAAGGTTTAGGGAAATTGTAGTAAGGGCATCCTTTTTGGGATTGGTTACTTTCTAGGGGAAGCTTGAACGAAAAAGAAGGAGAAGGGTACAGGGCTACTAAACCCTAAACCCTAAACCCTAAACCCTAAACCCTAAACCCTAAACCCTAAACAAAGTGGGAAAATGGGTACCATTGGGCTAGGGATCTCTGGACCACGACAGCGACACGGGATGTTCTTGATGGTGACGGTGTCGACGTCGGCAGGCCAACTCGTTTTGCTGGATGGCAAAGACCTAGAACACTAAACCGCAAGCCCTGAACCCTAAACCTTAAACCCTAAACCCTAAACCCTAAACCCTAGGATGCCGACAACAGCAACTTTTGAGCCTCAAGCTATGGCGCTCTGCTCAGCCGAAAGTCTAGACCCTTTCGAGACCCTAAACTCGAACCCACCCGGCTCACATCTTCTAGTGGCGCCTCTTGCGCCTGAACTGGGAGTGTGACACAGAGGCTCGTTCCGCAGAGTGCGTACTCTTGCACACTTTTTGGGGTTTATAAAGTGATAGATAGGGCCCCCGAAAAATAGGGGTGCCCTTTCTCAAGAGCTCCTCTAATGAGGAGTGTAGTGCGGTGTTTTGGGGAGACCCGCGCTTCAGGAATTAAACCACATTGGTTTAGGCTGTATTGATGAAGAGCAGCGGTGCTCCTCGAAGCGACCCCCACCGCTGTCATTATTACAAGTGTTACGACGAACTCCCCGCATCATACTCATACTACTACTAATACTGCTGCTAATACTGCTGCTACTACTACTACTACTACTACTACTACTACTACTACTACTACTACTACTACTACTACTACTACTACTACTACTGCTACTGCTACTGCTACTGCTACTGCTACTGCTACTGCTACTGCTACTGCTACTACTGCTACTACTGCTACTACTGCTACTACTGCTACTACTGCTACTACTGCTACTGCTACTGCTACTACTACTACTACTACTACTACTACTACTACTACTACTACTACTACTACTACTACTACTACTACTTTTCTACCTTCTGCCTTCTGCCTTCTACCTTCTACCTTCTACTTTCTTCTTCTACTTTACTTCTACTTCTGCTTCGGCTTCTACTTCTACTGCTTCTTCTTCCCCCCCCCCCCCCCCCTCCTTCACGATTGCAAAAGAGATGCTTGACCGAAACCAACAAGTTTGACCGACCTTAAACCCTCTACCCGAAACCCCCATCCGGCTCTGCACACAAACTGCTCGCAAAGCCTTCTCTTAGCAACAAGGCCCGGCCCGAATGACCTACCTTCCGGCCCAAACATCGCAAGCAACGTTGTTGCCGTTCTGGGACCGAATGTCGGGTTGCGGGCTGCTACGGCACGGATGATAACCCAAACCCAAAAGCCTAAACCCAAAACCTTAACCCCTAAACCCTAAACCCTAAACCGAGCCCTTAACCCTAAAGACTAAACCCACCACAATATGCCAAGAGACTGATCGGGTATGCCCCATGTGCGCAGGGTCAGAGATAGGTTTGTGCTGTTTGTTTGCACTGTCCTCTGAATCCTCAGTGTGGCTTGGACAGGGTGTAGGGTTTAGGGTTCAGGGTTTAGGGTTTAGCCCCAAGGGCTCAGGGCTGTGATAGCTCTAAACGGTAAGGGTTCGGGGCTTTCGAAACACAAAAACTACACAACAAAAACTACACAACAAAAACTGGACTTTAGGGTCTAGGGTTTAGGGGCGGTACACTCTTTAAACTGAAAAAAACACGGTACAAAAAGATATGCAGAAAAGGACCCCGGGCCGTTAGAAAGTCGAACGTATTCACAAGTTAATGAGGCAGAGCAACCCCCTCGCCCCTCGCATACTCTGTAGGGTTAGGGTTTGGGTTGAGGGTTCAGGGTTGTACGGTTTGAGGGGTTTAGGTTTTTAGGGTCCAGGGTTTTAGGCATTAGGGTTTAGAATTGGTTTAAGGAGCTCTTTCGTCGGGGAGGTCTTCAAGCTAGCCTTAAAGGGAAGCCTAGGGTTCAGGGTTCTTGGGTTTTAGGAGTTCATGGTTTTGAGGCCTTGAGGGTTTTAGGGCTTCAGGGTTTAGAGTTTAGGCTTTGCTGCCTACTTTCTTTTTGCTTTGCCGGGGGGTGGGGGGGGTGAGGTGTGGGGGGGGGTGGGGGTGGGGGGGGGTGGGGGGGGGGGGGTGGGTGGGGGGGTGGGGGGGGGGGGGGGGTGGGGGTAGGGTTTACGGGGCTATAGCGTTGAGGGTATGGGGTTCAGGCTTAGGGTTCAGGGACCCCATAGGGCCCAAGGCCCGAAACCCGGAAATCATGTAAAACCCGGCGCCCAAAGATGTGAATCTATCCTTGAACCCTCTAGACGCCTAAGCCCTAAACCCTAAGCCCTAAGCCCTAAGCCCTAAGCCCTAAGCCCTAAACCCTAAACCCTAAACCCTAAACCCTAAACTCTTCCCTTTCTTGCGGCATCGTCTCTGAGGCTGTCGACCTCGAGGAGATAAATGAGAACCTCCCCAAAAAGGGTTTGGGTTTTGGGACTAGGGTTTAGGGCTGTAGGGTTCAGGGTTGTGGGTTTGGGGGTTATGGTTTTATTACTTGTATTATATTTTAGTTGTGTTTAAATGGCTTTGGGGTTTATCATAAACCAGGACTTTTCGCGATTTTTTTTTTTTTTTTTGGGGGGGGGGGGGGGGGGGGTGTACAGGGCTTTTAGGGTTTGCAGGGTTTAGAGGGTTTACAGGGTGAACTGGGTTTATAGGTTCGAATGTTCCCCCTTATGCTAAGAGTCCTTCATAGGGATTGTAGTTCCACCCCCGCCTATTCTTATGCCTATTAAGGACTGTCAGTATAAGGGGGAACATGCGAATTTATAGGATTCACAGAGTTTATAGGATTGAGGGTGCTTGGGCTCAATCCCAGGAGGAGGAGAGGGGTATAAGGACGGACCACTGGAAAGGGACCCTGAATCTTATTCCCCTATAGAACCCCTACATATATATATATATACACATATATACACCTTGTATAGTCCTTAGATGCCGAAGTCGCCCCTAAGTGACCCCTCAATAGCCCGTATGGTCCCTTTACAAGGGGCACCCCTGGGCTCCCCAACCGCTCAATCGCTGCTTTCCTCCGATTGAATGCAGCACAGAGTGCTTCTAATTGAGGTCCAATTCTGCACCTTGGTAGCCAACATCCCTTGGTTTCGGGGTTTAGGTTTTTTTTTTCGGGTTTAGGGTTTAGGGTTTAGGGTTTAGGGTTTAGGGTTTAGGGGTTGAGGTAGAGGTGGTGCTGGATCCAGGACCAGAACTTCGGAGATACCACGGGGATAGATAAATCCCTAGTTGTCCAGTAACCTGGGGAATTAAAGGTTAACCTTGGGGATTATACGACCCCAAAAAGGTTAAAGGTTTCCTACTCTACTACTAGCATCCGCTTCCCCCGGCTCTGCCCTTGGTAGCCCCAGCACCCATATTTTGATAGGGGCAGCCTTGTTTCGGGGTTGGTTACTCTACAAGGGAACCCAGAACCAAAACAAAGAAGGGTAAAGGGCACCACTGGGCTACCAAGGGAACCATGAAGCTGAAGAGCCTGGTGTTCAGACAGACTTTCACGTTTTGGCTTCTGGGTCTTGGGTGTAGACCTGCAAGCCCAACAAAACCCTACAAATCCTGACTACTGAGGGCTACTACACACCCTTTTTGTCTCCAACTAGACCCTCAACCCAACCCAAGGGACAGTGATTTACGGGAAGTGAAACTCCTACGACTTCAGGGTGGTTGCACCCTTATACATAGGTAGGACTGCCCTTCGGCGTAAACGCCCCCAAACCACAAAAAAGCCCTGAACGAAAACCCAAAGCCGAAACCCTGAACCCTAAACCGAGAATCCCGAAACCCTAAACCCAAACCCTGAACCCTAAACCCCATCGGCCTGCGACAGGGCACGTGGGCTCTTCAAGAGCCTGAGGAAACCGGGATTCATGTCATGCAGACCCTTCCCCCTATAGACCCTTCAAGCCTTCAAGGGACTAAAGGAGTGACCGTTTTTTACGCCCGTGTTCCGCATAATCCCCCCCCCCCCCCAGGAAATCCCCCCAAGGAAATCCCCCCCCCCCCCATGGTATCCCCCCCAAACCCTGCCCGGTAACCCTCAAACACCACGGACCACAGAAAAGGAGAGGGAAACCCTAAACCAAACCCCAAACCCTGCCTCAAGCCTAAGCCAAAGCCAAAACCCACCAATGAACACACCCCCTCCTCCCCCCTACAGTCGAAGCCCCGCACGACGGCCTAACTTTATGTGTGGCCTAAACTCGAAGCCCCAACCGTGGCAAAACTTAATGCGCAGCCGGGCTCCCGACACTAACCCAAAATGCAGGTGCACCTTGTGGATATGAGGGGTTTAGGGTTTAGGGTTCAGGGTTTAGGGGAGCTGAAATCCGAAACCCTCAACCCTCAACCCTCAACTGCAGCACTGCATTGGAGGGTTGGGGCTTTAGAGGCTTTCGGACTTTAGGGCCCTATACCCTAAACCCAAACCCCCGGTATGGCTTAGGTAAGGCTCTCGGCCCCTGTCAACAAGCCTGGAGAAAAGACCCCCCAGAGAATGAAGGGCCTCTGAAGCTTTAAGGGTTTAGGGTTTAGGGACTAGGGTTTAGGGTTTAAGAGAGCTACAAGCCCTGAAGCCCGAAGCCCTTTGCCTCTCAAGTCCCCCCTCCCGGCCTGGTGTTGTCTCTCCATGGCTGGGTACGAGCTGGCTTGGCTCCACTGCATGACCAGTGATCTGAGCCCGGACGTCCGGCTTCCGGACTTGATCGGATCCCCAAATAAGAGCGCCGGAACCTCCAAGACTTGAAGAAGGACCCTAAAGCCTAAACCCTAAACCCTAAACCCTAAACCCTAAACCCTAAACCCTAAACCCTAAACCTTGGGGCACTGGGCCTTTCTTAGGTTGACGCACTCCCGGGCCCAGTTGCCCCGGTGAAAGCAAGCCCTCAAGTCGAAACTCTCTGTGCGACATCGGGACTTAGGGTTTAGGGTTTAGGGGTTTGGGGTTTAGGGTTTCGGGCTTCGGGTTTAGGGTTTAGGCTTAGGGTCATTATCATTATTACTTATTATTGTTTTTTTAGGGGGGGTAGGGTTTAGGAGCAAGGGGTAGTCAATCGAGTTATGGGGATTACCCAGGCTCTAGCGTTTGGCTTAGGAGCCTATGTACATTGAAACTTGTTTTGGGCCGTTCCCGTCTCAGAACTCCATGAGGATGATAAGGGGATCTTGGCTGCACTCAGGAGGGTAGCTAAAAATTAAACTTTTAGCTGCCTTATTAAGAATCCCAATAAACCCAAAAAGGGTAAGGATCTAAAGTTACAGTAAAGTATCACAAAGGATAAGGGGATGACTCGCTTAAACGCTATTCTGGGCAGCTTCCACCGGGGATTCTGGTGATGGAATCAAAGGGTGCTCCGCAGTCCCAAGCAACGCAAGCTCGCCTGCGTTAGGGTTTAGGGTTTGGGTTTAGGGTTTAGGGTTTAGGGTTTAGGGTTTAGGGTTTAGGGTTTAGGGTTTAGGGTTTAGGGCTTAGGGTTTAGGGTTAGGGGCTCAAGCTGTCACTTCGCATCGTCCCTTAAGCGAAGCTGCAATGAAAGAGCAGGTCGTTAAGTTCCCACGGCAGCGATGCTTGGGACCGGGGGTAGGCTTCCTGATTTTTCCGGCCACACCGCGCTGGCTGGCTTCGCTGACTTTCGATGAACCCTCACACCTCAGGTTAGGGGGTTTAGGGTTTAGGGTTTAGGGTTTAGGGCTTAGGGCTTAGGGTTTAGGCCAGGGCCAGCAACTTCCAACCACTGCGCTGGCGGACCAGAAAAAACAAGCTTACAGGTGCAACCTCAGCAGCTGTTCTGAGCAAAGGCAGTGGTCGTTGACCACGCTTGAGCCAGGCAGCAAGTTGCAAGTTGCAGGGTTTAGGGTTTAGGGTTTAGGGCTTAGGGTTTAGGGTTTAGGGTTCTCTCAAACAGGGAGCTGAAGCCCAGCCACAATCGGGCGCTCCTTCTCCCTCCCCCAAAATACACTCGGAGCAAAAAGGACCGGGGCTTAAGGCTTAGGGGTGTTGCAACCACTCAGACTCTTCTCCCTAGTGCACCCTAAACTCTGAACCTTAACCCCCTCCCTGCCAGCCCCTACACCTTTAAGTTACAGTTGCAAACCAAGAGAAATGGGATCCCAACTAACCCTAAACCATGAACTGGAACTGAAATCATGAACCCCTTAAGGGCAATTCGAAAGGGGATCACAGTTAACCCTTAACCCTAAGTCCCTAAACAAAAGCAATCGAAAGGGGATCTCAAACATCCCGAAGCCATACACGCTAAAGCCTAAAGCCCTCTACAGAACAAAAACTAACCCTCAACCACACAACCCTATACCGCTAAAACCTAAACCCCTATCACCCTAAGACCCTCAAAAACCTAAAATCCGAAAAGCCTAAACTCCTAAACCCCTAAACCCCTAAGAACCAAAAACCCCAAAGCCCAAACCCCCAAAATCCTGAACCCCAAACCCTAAAACCCTAAAAGCCTGAAACCCTACAACCCTAAAACCCTAAAGCCCTAGAACCCTAAAACCCCTAAAAACCCTAAAACCCTAAAACCCTGAAACCCTAAAAACCCCAAAAACCCTAAAACCCCAAAACCCCAAAACCCCAAAGTCCTAAAACCCTAAAGCCCCAAAATCCTAAAACCCTGAAAACCCTAAGGCGAGCCTTGCATGGCCCTAAACCCTAAACCCTAAACCCTAAACCCTAAACCCTAAACCCTAAACCCTAAACCCTAAACCCTAAACCTAAACCCTAAACCCAAAACCCAAAACCCTAAACCCTAAACCCTGCATGGACCCACCTTTGAAGAGCTCACCAAACTGCTTCGTGGCGTGAGGTCGCCGTTGGCGCTGCCGCGCCTGCAGGGCTTCTTGGGGTAGTTTTTGTGGGCCCTTAATGGTTACTTAGGGTTTAGCGTTTAGGGTTTAGGCGGTCAGGGTAGTTGTGTGGGCCCTTAGTATGGTCCCTTACCTCCTTCTTCTGAAGTATGGGCCCTTGGGTTGTGTAGGGCACAAAAAGGGGTATACAAGAGTCCCCCCTTCTCAAGGGCCCATACTGAGGAGTCCGTGTAACTACCCGAAGGAGGAGTCCTCCCTCCTTTGTCCTATGACCACTTCAAGGGCCCAAAGGCATCTTCTTGGGTACAGC